CCGGCGACCCCTCCTCCTCTCCCGCAGCCCCCTCCCGCCGGCTCGGCTCCTGACAGATGGCGCAACTGCAACGCCCCGCCGCCGCGGCTGCTAGCAGCTACTCTCGCTGATGCTCAGCCCCTCCGGCCCGCGGGGAGCGAGAAGGGCGGGGCGCGCCCGGAGAGTGGCAGGCCGCGCTGCCTATCCAAAGGGCCCTTGGAGATGCGAGCCGCAGCCATTGGTGGCTAAGGCGGGGCGGGGTGGGCCGGGGTGGGGCCGCCGAGTGGGCTGAGCATTACTGTGGCAGCCTGGCGCGTGCGGCGCGGGGTGTGCGGGAGGATGCGAGGCGGAGGAGGAGGTGCGTGCCTGTTTTGAGGACTGTGTGGAGTTGCGAGTTAATGGGATAGGACTGGAGAAGGGGGGTGATATTAGCTGCAATTCTGCCTTGAGGAAGGGTGCAGGAGCCACTAGGGATGAGCACCTGCCATTTCCCCCCAAACGGTGAGAAGTTGCCTCGACGAGAAAAGACTCCTTTGCTTTTCCATTTGAGGGTCGTAAGATAAAGTGTCAGAGTGATAATCACAGCAGGTCTTCTGGTCAAACTAAACCAAAGGGAGGAGCAAAGTAGAAATCCCATCTCCAAAACCTGGAAAAGCTAAAGAGAACCCTGGAAACGCCTCACAAACTAGCAGACTAAGAAGAAATGAGTATCATTTTATCAGTCTACTTTCGTGGACACATATTATTTTTCTTTTGGAGGAGAATTCTGAAGAAAGTATTGCAAAATGTGAGCGGAACGGGCGGTGCCTAAGGAACCCAAAAGTTACAGTAGAGATTTCTTTGTACATTTTTCCTCCAACTCATGTTTAATTGCAGCCGTTGGTCGTCTTTGGTCTCTTATGACAGTCAAACCTTTCATGTTCTCCGCCTCTCTCTTCACTGAGTCTGAGCTTTTGCTCAGATTTTCCTTGATGAAATAATTGCCAGTTTAAAATACAGTTGTGAGTACATCAGTCTTTATTTCCTATCCAGCGTTTCTATGGCAGGATGTAAGTTCATAAAAAGAAACACTTTGACTTCCTGATTTTCTTTATAGGTAATTCCTGTTTACTGAAAATTCAACTTTAAGGCATGCTCAGAATCATTCTTCTTAATGATTTTGGCAAGAGCCCTACCCTCCCCCCTCAGCGAATCTAATGTTCTAAGAAATATAAGTGACTCAGCCTTGGCTTCTCAGCTCAAAAATCTATATTACTTTCTTGCCCGCTATTTTTTTTTTTTTTTTTTTTTTACCATTTAAAGATAACAGACTTCTGCTGACTTTTTCTTTTTGTACACTACTATTGTTTTAAAAGTTGCTAATATTTATTAAACAACGTCTATTTTATGGATGGAGGAAGAGAACTAACTCAAGACGGTAGTATAGGTGATTACTATTTTTTTTTCTTTTTAAACAAAATGATAGACTAAATTGTGTGGTAATTCATTCCATAGTCCCAGGAATTAGACCCATATCTAGACAAGTATATTTCAAAACAAAGGAATATGTCCTTCATCTACAAGAATTATTTCTCGCAAAAGAAAGGGCTCCTTGTCCTCTCTGCCAGGCTATCTCGGCTGTCCTAGGTTTACTTGGACTGGAATGGAGAGGCAGTTGTCTAGAGCAATGATTCTCAAACTTTAGCTTGTGTCACACTGCCTGAGGAGCTGCTGAAATACAGATTGCTGGGTCCCACCCCCAGACCCTCTGATTCAGCAGATTTGGGCTGAGCCTAAGGATGTGTACTTCTCAAGAGGCCCCAGGTAATGATGTTCCTGTTGCTGGTCTGGGTACCATACTTTGAGAGCCACTGCTATGGAACTGGCTTCTCCAGGGCAGTAGCTCAGAGACACACATGGTTTTTAAGTACTTGAAAAGTGTTTTGATATGTGCCCCCTGCAAGTTGAGGTGTGCAGTTTTTTTAGCATGGAAAAGAGGAATGAAAAGGTTATTTGGGTTGCATATTAAAATGATAATAGTTTGGATACACTGGGATAAAGAAATTATATTAAAGTTAATTTCAGTGGAATTTTCTTTGCAGTTGTGGGAGTCAACCCAAGTCCCTGTGCATACTGGGTAACTGCTCTACCACTGAACCACACCCTTCTTCCACTTTTTAAAATCTCGATGTGGCTTGCATTATATTTTTATTGGACAGCACTGGTCTAGAGTCGTTTCTGATTTTACTTCCATAATGCACTATTGGGAACACATTGATAAGGCAAGTGATTTATCCTTTCTGAACCTTAGTGTTGCTATACTTAAAATGGGGAAAACAGCAAAACTGATCTCACACTATTCCTGCGAAAACTAAATGAACATGTGTGCAGTCTATGCACACCTTTTTAAACAATCGTGTATTTTCAGTAAAACCTTTCCCAGAACCGAGATCCCCTTGCAATTGTGTTTACTTCACTCCATCCTTCCTGAAACAGGGAGTAGGTGGAGTAAGTCATCCCACTGGTTACAGTTTCTTCAAAAGGAGTCACTTATTAGTGTCTGCAATTCTAATAGCTTCTTGATCTAATTAGTGGACAAAAAGAAGAGACAATAGGATTAGAGTGACAGATTAACCAGTTCCCATCAAGACTTCATCCTGTGATTTGTAATTCTTTTCTTACCTTCCTTTTTATCGGCTCTTCTTAAGTGTAGCTTTAAATTGATTTGGCCTCCTCAGGAGGATTTGCTAATGGTCTGGACAAGTGTATAGAGCACTGGAAAAGATTTGGGTACTATTTTTCATTTTTATCTACTCTTCAGGTCTCTATGGAGAACTTGATTAAGGATCCAAGATACAGTCCCTGGCCTGTGCAGGATGAGTCCTATTGTTCTCCATAACTCCCAATTTTTGTTTCTGTTATTTTGCAGGCAGCTTCTATTATACAAATTAGAATTGTTCTGGAATTTGTTTTTTATTGTTATTAGTTATTTTTATTTTTCTATTTTTTTTCCACCTTGAAGTTTTCTCTTTATATCCTGGTTTTATTTTGTATTATCTGAATTTCCTGTTCTTTTGCTTTCACAGTAATGTTTTCTTTATTTTTAATTTTATTAATTAAAATATTTCTTGCCTTATTACTTTTTATTTTGAATCTCAAGTGTCCATTCAGCAGCAATGCATGGCAACACAAATAACTTTTGATACAGAGTTTTTACAAACCAATAAGAAAATAAAAGTGAACACTCCAACTAAAATACATAAAAAGAAAATTCATTCCCAAATGGCTGGTGATGTGAGAAGTGATTCAACTTAACTTGTATCCACAACCAAGCAAAGATCTTGTGTTAACTACCTAGTTACCTGGAGAATGAAAGAATGTGGGGAAATGGATACTACACCTACATGTGCAAGTATTCATTGGTACGACATTTCTGGAGGGCAATTTAACAGCATTTGTGGAGATTCTTGTATAAAGTATATACCTTTCCTAGCCATTCTACTTCTGGGAAAGAATCAAGGAAGTTTGCAAAAACATGAAAGTAATAAAAACATTGTTTGTAATAGTGAAACATTGGGAAAAATTCACTAATGAGGGATTTAGTGTGTAAATGTGTTATATCCATAGTAGAACACTACTTAGCCATAACAATGATGATGATATTAATTTATTTGACATAAGGTTTTCACTATAAGTTAAGAGAAAAAGTGAACAACGAATTAGTATTTTATATGCATGCACACTAAGCAAATAGTGAACAATGAATTAGTACTGTGTACTGTTTGTGTATATATGTATGTTTATACAGATGTCCTTTATTTTAAAATTATCTTTGTAATTTTCATAGAAAGAAATATGTGTGAAAATACAGAACAATTTTAACAAGGATTTTTTCTAAGTTATCAGATTATGGGTCAACTTTCTTCTTTTTCTTAATTTTCTCAACTTTTTTGCATTGGGTGTTTATTATGTTATTAGAGAAAATAATAAAAACTGATTTTAAACTTGTTTCTTCCTTTACTGCTTTAATTTTTCCTTGTTCTCTTGCTCTTCTCTGCTATTTTCCCTCCTGTTTTGAAGGAGAATCTCTCTGGGGTAGTAGCCAAGGGCCATGAAGCCTTCAGCTCCATCCACCCACAACCACCTCTCCAGCTTCAAGGGAATCTTCTGAGACCTTATAGGTGATTCTCATCAAACTGTCCTCTGTGAGTGGGATGTCACTGGGAAACTGAGCTCAGGGCCGACCTCTCTGTACCTGGTACACCTGGTAACTATTCAACTCTTGTTGCTGACACCTACTGTCATCAAGTCCTAAAACAAAGACTTGTATATTTTTAAATGCCTGACTGTCAGAATAGCCAATAGATTTAGGGCATACTGGGCCAAGCTTACTCAGACTTAGAAGGAGATGGTGCTGTGAAAACTCATGTGGGAAGGACATGCCATATAATAACCATGCCTGGGCTAAGGAAAAGTAGTAGGTAGTAGTAGGTTAAACCTGCTTCTAAAGCTGGGATTCTGGTTCCATTTTCTTACCAACTTCTCTTGTAAATGTTATCCACACTGGACAGGCGCTCCTGGCTGGCCACCCCTGGGAGGGGGTGTGTCTCTACAGCTCCCTTCTCTCTTAAAAAGGTGGTAAGCTGGAGGAACAGACAGGGGTGTCATGAACATGGTTTTGGGGTTAGGCATATAGGACCTCTGCTGGATGCTCTCTGCATGTTAGGTTCAGTACTGGGAAAGCTGGGCCTGCTGAGGGGGAGGAGAGACCTGTTTCCCAACCCAGTCACAGAGAGAGAGAAAGGAGTGTCACTGTTTGAAGATGGTCTTCTTGGGAAGGAAGGGGAAATTATGTAAGTATGTATATACAGGATAGCTAACAGTTGTACTACTGTCTTCTATTGCTCTACAGAAAGGAACAGTTAATGATTACTTGTTTGATCAATCTTGTATGTCTCTATTTGTTTTCCTGAGAAACCACTTTGAAGATATCAATA